AGCTTTGATATTAACTTCTAACCCAATAGATTGTCTTATGCACCTTCAGAATTCCACCTTCCATGCTGAAGCCCTCTGTTCCCATGTATGAGAAGTCATAGGACTTAGTCATAGAACATGGTCACAGCAGTGCCTTAGCTTAGCCTGAAACAGACGAAACTGTCAGCTTCATCTCCATCTTCTCTGCCTTTCTCTTTCCCAGTTGCCCATACCCAGGTTTATGGTCCCTCTTTTTCTTTGTTTTTCACCTGGAGCCCTATGCTAACAACGTTTCAAATTTCATGTATGTAAAATGAAATGAAATACAAAATAATCAGAGGAGAATCAAATGGGGAAAAGGAGATAAGAAAGATTTAAAAGGTCATTGTTACCTTTTCTGAGACACCTTCCCTGAACATCCTGCAGTATGGACAATTACAGTTACCTCCACATTTAGACCATTGCGGGAGGAGTGCACTCTTAGGAAGAAGGTGGCTCTAAGGGAGAGGAGAATGTGTAAAAGTCTCTATTGGGTTTATCTACACATTTTAGAAGCAGAAGAAAACCTTTTTTTTCATCTCTCTTCATAGGATTTTCTGAACACTTCCCAGGAATGCTGAGGCAGAAGCTCTATGATAGTGACTAATCCCAGGCAATGTCCCGACACCATCAGCAGTGGCTACCAAGGGTGGGGATGCTGGCTAGAAGCAGGGCGCATTATCCGAAGAGAATTCAAAAGCCATAATAAAGCCAATAAAAGGTAATCTGCTTTTCATTATCACCATGCATGGCAATTCTAAATAATACCAATGGTTAAATATTTTTACCCCCAAACACTGTGAATTGAAATTCCAAACAATTGCTGTGATTACTGTTGAGTTTTAATAACATTTATGGAAACTCCAAATTAGCACAGTTCTTACTTATATGTTAATAAACATTATGTTCTATGTGAAAGTTAATTCAGAGAACTTCCAGCTATACGGTTGGCCCCAACATACTTGGTCTCAGCTACATACCTTCATTTCTTTCTTTCATTTTTTTTTTTTTGGAGACAAAGCCTTGTTCTATTGCTCAGGCTGGAGTGCAGTGGCATGATCTCAGCTCACTGCAACCTCCTCCTCCCAGGTTCAAATGATTCTCCTGCCTCAGCCTCCCAAGTAGCTGGGACTGCAAGCGTGTGCCACCACACCTGGGTAATTCTTTGTATTTTTTATTTATTTATTTATTTTTTTTTTAGTAGAGATGGGGTTTCACCATGTTGACCAGGATGGTCTCTATCTCCTGACCTCATGATCCACCCACCTCGGCCTCCCAAAGTGCTGGGATTACAGGCATGAGCCACCGTACCTTGCCCACACCTTTGTTTCTAAAGTAAAGATCATAACAATTCAAAACCCAAGTTTGCTTCTAATGGTTTGTCGCCAGTCCCTGTGCTATTACATTAACTCCTGCATTTAAGCAGCAGATTCTAAAGAAACAATGACAATTAAAACAATTTTAATTGTGTTTAAAATTTATATTGAAACAGTGCAAACTGTGAGGTATGATATTTTTGTTTGGTAAATGCAAATTTTAGTTCATATGTAAAATATTATACTAAATTTAATTGATATCTTTAAAGTTAAAATGTATCCTCTCCGATAGTTAATTTTTTTGTCTTAAAACCAGAAAACAAATCAAAAATAATGATTAGCTCTATTACTAATCATTACATAATTACTACTGAAAATGATTTTGTTGTGTAAAGGACAGCAATATTAAAAAGTGATCCCCTCTGTGTGCCAAGTATGGTAAGCATGCACCACTGGCTGTAAGTGTTTCCCAGAGGTGGGGGCCACTAGCCCTGCTGTCCACAGTCATTTTAACCCAGGAGCACTCTCAAGTATGCCTGTCCTCTTCTCTTTCCTTGCTATTCCCAACCAACTGATTAGTCAATGCAACTTAATTCCTATTTCTAAATCTATATGTTTCCACTCATCTACTGCCCAGTCTTCTGTTTTCTTTATGTTCTTCACTAAAGACAAATAGATTGCTTTTTTCCTATTAGAGTCTCTCTGCACGTAGGTCCACCTGTGTACTGTTTACTAGCAAATTTGTATCTCCAACTCTTACTGTTTCCCTGAACCCCAGATTAGTATACCTAACTCTGCATGCCACAGCTTCCCCTACACTTCTAATAGGCACATTAAATTGACTATGATCAAATATGATTTTATGTTCCCACCATATCTACTCTTCTCCCAGGGAACCCCATTTTAGTAAATAGCAGCACTCTTCAATAAGGTATCTAGATCTTTACTTCTCTGTTTCTTCCACACCCTGCGGATGCAAGGATCAGCAAATCTTCTGGAGGCTCGATTCCTACTCCTTCCTTGATTATTCTCTGAGACCTTGTACTCTGTAGAAGCCTGGTACCTGCTTTCTCTGCTTACCTCTTACCCGTTTTCCCTCCACAGTGTCTCTTCCAGAGTGGCCATAGTAGGATTTATAAAACATTAATCAAGGCCAGACACAGTGGGTCACATCTGTAATCTCATCACTTTGAGAAGTGAGACAGGGGATCGCCTGAGGTCAGGCTCTCAAGACTAGCCTAGGCAACATAACAAGGCCTTGTCTCTACAGATGTTTTTTTTAAACTGGATTTGATGGCGCACTATAATGGTCTCAGCTGCTTGGAAGGCTTAGGCACGAGGATCACTTGAGCCTAGGAGTTCGAGGCTGCAGTGCCATGATCACACCACTGCACCCCAGCGTGGGTGACAGAACTAGACCCTGTCTCTGAAAAAAAAAGAAACAAGAAACATTAAAAAAATATAAATCATTTTATGTAACTCCCCTGCACAAAACACTGCAATAATGTTCTGACAAATTTATAATAAAACCCAAAGCCCTTACACTGGCTTATAAGCTCTATATAATCTGGCCCTGGTCAGATCTCTGACCTCTTCTCTGGTCTTTCCCCCTATACTTCATTCTGGCCATATTGCCATTGTTGTTACTCCTTCAACACACCAACCATCTCGAGCTGTGGGCTCTTTATACTTGTTCCATAGACTAGAACGCTTGTCTCAGATTTTCCTAGGGCTCACCCACTCGCTTCTTCAGGTCACTGTTACCTCTTCGGAGACACCTTTCCTGAACACAGTGCATTATGGGCAATGGCACAGTGGCACACTCTGTTACCTTGCCTTGATTTATTTTTCTTTAGAGCATTTCTCAATATCTGACATATTACACACACACACACACATTTATTGACTGTGTTCATCTCCCACATTAGAAGGTAGTAACAAAAGGGCAAAGATCTTGTCTATGTTGTCCGCCACTGAGCCACCAGAGCTAGAGCTGATAAAGAGAAGCTCTGCAAATATTCATTGAATTAACAAACAAATTAATCAACCCATCATCTATCCCAAACCCAAGTGTTTGCTCTTTCTTATTCTTCAGTCTCATTTTTCCTCTCTTCAACTCCTATCTGGTAATTGAAGCATCCTTGCCATTTGGCTGGCATCTCTAGGCCCCATTTCTCAAAGCTGCTGAGACAGATATGTAGAAGTAATAGCTGTTCATCAGAGGGCATCTCCAGAAAAGCAGGTGGAAAGGCTGGGCACAGAGGTAAAGCCCAACTTTTTCAGTTCTGACTGCCTCCAGGAATAATCATCCAACTGCCATTTAATTTAATTTACTTTAATTTTCGAGGCAAGGTCTTGCTTTGTCACCCAGGCTGGAGTGCAGTGGAACAATCTCAGCTCACTGCAACCTCTAGGCTCAAGTGATCCTCCTGCCTCAGCCTCCTGAGCAGCTGGGACCACATGTACAGGCTCTTCTTTACATTTTATTTATTCATGGCGGCCGCATGCCCCATCCTACATGAGGAGTCATGGCATCCTCACTCCTGTTGGCACATGTGAATCCTCAAAGTCCTCAATCCCTTATTCGCTATTCTAAAATCTAAAAGGCTCTAAAAATGAAAATTTTCTGTCCTAAATGTGAGACTAACTCATCTGGCAGAAAAACTTGGCATGGCCTAGTGTGAGGCTCTTTATGGTCTTTATTTATCCTGCATAAATATTCATACATTTTGCAGCAGACTATTAATGCATTAGACTGCAGATTGCTGCCCCCAATCTCCTTGGTTTTATAACATAATACACGGAATTTGTGCCTTCCGTTATCTGAAATATTCTGAGTTCTGAAACACACCTGGGGCCCAGGTCTTGGATAAGGAATTGGGATGCCTAGCTCTCTTTTCCAGCCACAGCTGATAGAAAGGGAGGTTGTGTCACCCAGAACCAAATAGTGGAATGTAAGGGAAAATCTTCTTGAGCTCACAGTTCTCCGTGAGCAGTTCTCAAAAGGCCGAGCTGTTCTCAATTACCAGGATGTCAAGATCCTGTCCTCAAAATAAAAAGGTAAAGCCTCCAAAGAGAACGGCCTTGCCCCACTCCTTCCTTCCTGCTCAGGGTCTGAGCTGAGGATGTGGCACCTTCTACCTTGTGACCATGAGGAGATAAGATGGAAAGATTAGCTGAGAATGGTGGGGAGCAAAGGGGAACTCTTTGAGCCCCCAGAAGTACTCAAATCATAAACTATGTTTCCGGTTAAGTAAATACTGGACTTCCTTATTTTTAATCCAGGGCTAATCAGTTTTTCTGTGACTTTCCTGCAAATGAGGTTAGCCAGGGACAATAAAATAGTATCTGAACAGGCGACAAGCAGGGCCCTCCCTCAGCAAACAGAGATAAGAAAGGGTATACACTTGGGTTTGGGATAGATGTGGGGTGGATTAATTTGTTTGTTAACTGCAAAGTAACCACTTCCTGACGAAGAATCAAACAAGAATCCCATAATAAGGGCAGCCACGGAAGGCCCAGGTGCAAGCCTTATCGGGTTGCCAAGAAGAAAGAGAAGGAGAACAAGAAGGCAGGACTCCCTTGGTGGAGATCCAGAGCAAAGGTAGCTGTTGCTTCTCATGAACACCCCAAAGTTTATCACAGGCACCTGTCACCCTTGCTGGCACAGGTCTTTGAAAATGCGCTGGGAGTGTGTTTACACATGCGTGTGTGCTTGTCTATTAAAGGGGCCCAGGTTAATCCAGGTGTATTAAGACACCGTTGCCCGGCTAGTCCTTGCAGGCCTTTTCTGAACGTTTTGGTAAGTAAGCCTGTTCTTCAGCAACCCTACCTGCTTCTCCAAACTGCCTAAAAAGATCCAGTACTGATGGTGCTGTTCTTCCATCTTTACTTGCTGGAAACTAACCTCATCGTCTTCTTTCCTTCACCACCATCCAGGAGCTCAGAGATCTAAGCCGCTTTCCATCTTTTCTCCCAGCCCCAGGACACTGACTCTGTACAGGATGGGGCCTTCCTCGTGCCTCCTTCTCATCCTCATCCCCGTTCTCCAGCTGATGATCCCAGGGAGTACTCAGTGTTCTTTAGACTCCATTATGGAAAAGAAGATCAAGGATGTTCTCAACAGTCTAGGTAACTCTCGGGTAGGGGAATTGGGAGGCTGACCCTGGCTCATTTCTCCTGTTCTTAAACCCTGACGTCATCTCTATTCCATCCCAAGATCCCAACAAAACCCAATCCCTGATGAGGGCTTTCTACACTACCCTACCCCTATTTGCATTCTTGGCTAAAGGCTGAGGTTTTCCTGATGAGGAGGAAGAGGTGGAGGAGAGTAGTAGCTGTAATTTAGGAACACTCATTATGAACCAGGTACAATCCAAGCTTTACATAGATTAGTTCATTTAATTCCCACAACCATCATATGACAACTATGACTTCCCCTTTAAAAATGAAGAATCTAAACCTTAAAAGCTGATGAGTAGCCTGATTCTGGACACAGTGTCACCTCTGAGGTAGAAGACGATTTGGAAGTAGGTGATGGGGAAGATAGATCATGGGTTATACCGTTTCTTCTTTCTAACTCAGAGTACAGTCCCTCTACCATAACCAAGAAGCTCTCGTGTATTAGTGTCAACAGCCGAGGCAGGCTGTCCTCCTGCCCTGCTGGTGAGTAACTCCCTGAGGGAGAATGGTGAGTAAGATGACCCGTGTCCTCCCCTGTCCAACCCCCTGCACCTGCACCTTCCCCCATCTCGGGTCTGTATCACCCTGGGGCTAAGTCGTGGCTCTTGGTTCCCAGAGACCCCTTGCCCATTCTTGTTTCCCTGAAGGATACTACTGAGGCATCTTGGGTTTCTGCCTCTTCCTTTCACCCTTTCCCTTCATGGCCCCGTTTCCCAGCCCTTTCTCTCCTCCATTGTTCCATCAGGGTTACATCCTTCACCTTTCTTTCCAATCTATTCCCCCGTTTTAGGCAGTTTGGGGCCAACACAGAGGTGAATTTATCGTAAAGAAAATGCAAACTCCCAAGTTCTAAGTCTCTCACTTGCATGGGTCTCTTCCATGGCCCCAAATATTTGTTTCAGTGATTTCTGTATTCTTTTCTTGAGATGAGCTCTCAAAGTTGAAGGAACCTGAGGCCCCATGAAACCTAGCTCTACCCCTGGACTGCACAGACTTGAAAGATGGTTGTGGGTAGCCCTCCTTCCAATTAAATCCCAGGAGTTCTGATGTCTGCATTTCATGTACCCATGCAGGGATGACTGTCACTGGCTGTGCTTGTGGCTATGGCTGTGGTTCGTGGGATATTCAGCTGGAAACCACCTGCCACTGCCAGTGCAGTGTGATAGACTGGACCACTGCCCGCTGCTGCCATCTGGCCTGAGAGGGAAGAGGCTGAGAACTCAGTTTTGTGACCATGACAATAATGAAACCAGGGTCCCAACCAGGAAATCCAACCCTTCATTTGTTCCAGTCCTGATTCTTGGGTAATAAAAATAAATTTTGTACCTCTCTGTGTTTATGACATCACTGTTATTTTCCCCAGCTTGGGACTCCCCTAGCCAGAAAAATGTTGTCAGTGTTCCACTGGTGACATCTCAGTTTGGGAAGTGGGACGGGAAGCTAGGAAAGATGTGGGAAGAATGGGAAAAACAAGCTGACACTCCAAACCCCCACTTTCCTCATTATTGAAGAAAAAGATGGCCATGCCAGGCATATTGCTTGGCATGGGGTAAAGAGAAATAAAACAACACACCATTGCAGAGCTCTGTGTGAAAAGACTTTTCAAGGGATAGGCAAGCAGGAGTAGTTTTAAAGGAATCAGTTTCTAGATTTTCAGTGTGCGTATATGCTGTACTAAATTCAAGTGGCTGAGATGTGCTTTGATCAAGGTGACTTCTTTCACCAATGCCTTTCTCCCACATAACGAAAAAAACCTCAGCCCTCACCTGTCACTGAATCTTATTATCCCAGGGTATAAAAATCTGCAGAATGCCAAACAAGAAATGATTAAAAATATGGGCATCCGTGTTGAGTGTATGAATGATCCAGTGACAAAGTAACAAGTCCTTTCACAGCACAGGAGGCTTCCGTGGTTTGGTCTTTATAGGACTGAAGGAGGATATAATTCAGTTGTCAATTGATGGATCACCAAAAATAATTTTTAATAACAAATTGGTGTGTGAGATTGTGGACAAGTAATTCAAAAGGGATTCAGAGAAATTGAATGGCATTACTACAATAAACATTTTCCTTTTCTATCTACTTAATTATAAGAAGTAGACATGTCAAAGCTGACAACTATGAAAAGAAAATCCCAGGAATATAATTGGTTCTAGACTTTATCTCACTCTAGTGAAATAAAGTTTTTTGTCCATGAATATATAAACTACCTGGATGGGAGGGGAAGCTCTATCTTTCTCAGTTAAAAAAATATTGTTCTGAAATATTGTTTGGGCTTATTAATTACTTATAAAAGTGTGTTTTAACTGTTCTGTTCAAATATGCATTGTTAATTATTGTAATAATAGCTATACTCCTATTTATAGCAGCTGCAGTGAGTCTTTCACAATAGAAAGCAGATAATGTCACCTTCCTGTTCACATCTCTCTAGTGACTTCCATTACATGAAAATATAAAATCTCAAGGCCAACTAAATCCTGCATCCCTGGTCAGTGACTGTATTGCTGACTTTGTTTCTGACGCTTGCTCGCCCTGGCCATACCTGCATTCTTGGTATTCTCAGTCATAGGCACCCTCTCACCTTAAGGCCTTCCTACGTCCTGTCTTCCAGTTGGTTACACAGTTCTCACACACAAGGTCAGTGCTCAATATTTTTTCAGAGAAGCCTTCCCATCACCTCTATCTCTTGCCCTGTTTTTTTTTTTTTTCCCCGCATGATGCTTCTCAATCTTGACTTCGTAGTCTATTTATGAATGTATTAAGCATCTCTTGCAGCGAAATGTGTCATCCATGAAAGGCAAGACTTTGCCTGACTTGCACATCATTGCCTCCCCAGTGCATAGCACAGAGCCTGGCCCATGGAGGAGCTATAATGAACAGTGTGCCCGCCGCTGGGTCCAGCTCTGAGTCTGAGTCGGCTCCCTCCTTTGCTTTCTGTTCTTCCTCCTTTACCTCAGTCCTGGTCATGGAGAAACAAAGGTTTTAACGGAGATCTCTGGGTTCCATTCCTGAGGTGTCAGTCAGAGAAATAGCTATTCATCAGAGAGCCCTCTGAGAAAGAAAAGCCAGAGTGATGATGGAGGTCAGGGAGGTTAGCAACAGCAGAAGCAGAAGTTGGATTTTGTAGCTCTGTAGGACAGGATTAGTTGCCCACTTTGTGGCCCATTTCCCCTTTCTCTGTGTTAACAAAATCTTGATGTCATTCAGAGTATTGATGTGTGCAGTCCTGAAGGAGAAAATATTAGTTACACCAATAATAGAACTTTTTCTTCTCTTGGCCAAATATTTCTTTTTCTAGCCACCTTTGCATGGAGTGGAATTGCATGGGGTAGCAGGTGACCCAAATCAGGCCAAGAACATGTGGGAGAGTTCTGCTTGGGCCTTTTGAGAAAGAATGCACTGCTTGAATTAAAAACAGAAACTCTAAATTGTCCATGTCCTTTCTTGCCTGGGCTGTTGGTGTGAGGATGTGATGTCTGGAGTTGTGGCAGCTGCCTTGCGTCCATGGTGTTAGTTCAGTCATCCGGTGACTATTGAGCCAAAACTGTAGGCATGGTGAAGCAGAAAGAGGAAAAAGAACCTGGGACCGTAATCACATTATTCTATTCTACCACTAAACAGACTCTGAAATCACTTAAACTATTTTTCTTCTTAGCTAGATAAAAAATATTCACTCATTTAACAAATATTTATTAAGTTCTGTATACAAAGGCACTGGGCTGCAGTGGTTGCCAAAATAGGAAAAGATTACTCACTTCATGGAGCCTCCATTCTATTCTCTGTCTCCCGCAGCTGGAATTTTTTTGTAACTGTTCTATGGAGATAATTAGTCAAGGGCAATGTCATGTTATCTGAACAGATGACAATAACGGCCTTAGATCATACCTTTTGTACCTTTTTCCAGTGAAGGAATGAACGAAAGGCCTATAATGAGATACATCATCCAATTTGGTGATTCCTGGCAAAGTAGCTGCCAAGTTGTGGGGCTGCCACGAAGAAACGAGAGGAGAAAGAGAAAAGCAGGAGGAATCCCCTAGGCAGAGAACCAGAGCAATGGCAGCTGGGCCCAGTCAGGACACAAACTGGAGATTGTCCCAGGCTCATTCATTCTAGAAGTTTGACCCTCCCGGGCTACCTTAGTTCCTCCGTACTGCCAGAGTGTGTGTAGGTGGAGGGGAAGGAGTGCCACAGCCACCGCACTGACATTTAAAAAGTCCCTGCCCTCCGCTCCTCAGCAGCTCCTTCCTCAGTCTGGCAGGTGAACCTGAGCAAGTCTGCTTTCCTGACATCTCTGCTTCCTAGGAGTGCTGGAAGGAGACCCAGGCCTCCCAAGCACAGCAGCTGCCTCTTCCCTGTTTCCTACATACCTGCTTCTACCTTCCCTGCTTCTTTTCCTCCCCTCCCCTATGAACCCAGGAGCTGCTTTTCATCTTCATTTTCCCTTCAACTCAGGATGCTCCCTTTTCACAAAAGGAAGGCCTCTTTCCACCTCCTCCTTCTCAGGCTCCTTCTCCAGCTATGCCTGCAGGGGTTGCCCAGTGCTCCATATAGTTAGCTGTGAACAAAAAGATAAGAGTTGCTCTCAGCAAACTGGATCATTGTGTTATACTGGACCGAGCATAGAAAATTAACACCAAGACAAAAGTATGCCAGATTACAGGGTCTTTATGATGCTGGCGGCCACAGAAGACTCACGTCTCTCCAACCTGTGGCGTCGAAAGGAGGGTGCCAAGACTTTTTAAACCTGAAAAACCACCTTGGGAGTGGGGGTGAGGAGCAGGGATGAGGATGAAAAGGCTTCAGACATTCCGAGGGCTAGTGGATTCTGTAAATCACCTCCTGGGCAGAGATGAGGGTGGGGGTCTCCGGACATTCCAAGGGCTAGAGGACATGTTGTCACTTCGATTGTTACCTAAGTGGCTTACAGAAGTTAGTTTACACATTGTCTGGATACTGGTGGAAGTCACAGATCTTAGTTACTTATTACAAGTTACAGGAGCCAGGATGGAATTAGCCTGGGCTGCTTATTTTAGTTATTACTGGTAAGCAAAGGCTAGCAATTCTGGCAGTTACTGATAATAAAAGGTAAGCAGCTTTACATAGTTTGCAGGGCAAACTAGCAGTTCTATTTACAGAAGCCAAGGCCAGCAGTTATTGTGAGGAGAATGGGGCAGCCATTACAACTTATTTTAAAAAAACAGCTTTTTTCTTTTATAAAATGATGATGTTCAGGCTCTAACTCTAGGCCAGCTACAGCACAATATCACAATTGATAAGGGGATGAGGGTGGAAGTTATATCCCTGATTCTCATTTCTGTTACTAGACCACAAGCCATTTCCTAACCTGTCCCCAGATTCCAACCTCCTGCTGGAAAATGCATCCTCAACTCACTGGACTCTTAGAACCAATGGCAATAGCATTGGTAAAGACTATGCCTAGCATGCTTGAGCATTTACTATGTGTTAGGTACCTTTAGATAGTCTATTATTAAGTCATTAATTCCTTACTACAGTCCTGTGAGATAAGCATTGTTATATTTTGCATTTCACAGAAGAGGAAACTGAGGCTTAGAAAATTTACGTAATTTGCTTAACAGCACTCAACTATTGATGTGACTTGATCCTGGACACGTGACTTATTTGCAGGAGCAGAAAGATGATACGGGATTGGCCACTGAAAGCCCCAGGGTTTGCTCTTTATCTCTTTCCACAGAATACAATCCCTTAGGCTGCTGGAAAGATCTCTCCTGAACCAACATCCCTAATGAAAGCAATCTGTCCTTCTGCCCCTCAGGTAAGTCACTGTATGAAGTTAAAAGGAGCTTGCCTACGCTATGCTCATTCCCATGTGCTGGGTTCAGGCTGCCATCCCCGCGCTGTACCAGCAGGCTGACCCCAACCGCAATGTTGCTGGATTGAGTCACAACCCCAATACCGGTAAGTTTCCTTTCCATCTTTTCATCCCATGGGGCTACTTAGGGATCTGAGGTTTATTCTCACTCTCTCCCTCCTTCCTAAATCTCCCACATCCCAAATTTTTCTGATCTCCCCTCTCTTCCATCTCTCTTTCCCAATCTAATCCCACACAGTTTCGACCCCATCAGAAGTGAGAGTACTTTATAGGACAAAAGAAAATGGCAGGAAGCCTTCTCTTAAGATCTCTGATGCTCTTGCCCCCTCCCCCACTGTCCATGCCCTGCAGGGCACATCATCAGCAGAGGTTCCTGTGGCTATGCCTGTGAGTCATGGGATGCCTGGGGGAAACCATGAGCCAAGGCCATTGTAGTCCCCTGGAGTCAACCACTGCCCACTGCTGCCACCTCATCTAA